TCTGAGGCTGAGGCAGGAAGATGACCATGAGTTGGAAGCCAGCCTGGGCTACATAGACTAGTTCAAGGGTGACCCTGTCTCAAAACAAAACAAAACAAAACAAACCAAACCAAACCAAACCAAACCAAAACAAAACAAAACAAAACAAAAATTAATAAAAGTGGGAGGAAGGACTAGGAGTACTCTGACATATCCATGTCTGTCTTTGTAGGGCTATAGCTCATAGAGACTTTCTCATCTATTTCTAGAGCACACAGTAACCTGCTAATTCAGCTGGTCCTGACCTACTGACTGTGGCCTTCTCAGTGACGATGACATGCAGGATTACTTAGTGAAGCTAGATGGGGCCTGCATGTTTGATAGGAAAGTGTAACAATACAGCAGCTAGGAACAGCTCTGCTCGGTTCCACCTGCTCCGTGAGTTTAGATATTAAAAGAAAGACATATTCATTACAAGTACTTCTCAATTAACTATACCTCTGTAGACAAGGCAAGAAAGTATTTCTACAAAATGGACAGCAACAATCTTGTCAAAAGATATGTAATCTGGAATAACTAATTGTTAGAACTACTACCTTGACTTTTGAAGTGATCTTTTTATTCATCTTTAAGAATGAAAGAAAAAATAGCCTAAGTGCTGCATAGATTCTCCCTCCCCCTCCTGCTTATTGAATTCAGTTTTTTCCACTGATTTTCATCGAGTTCTGTTTTTTTTTTTATTTTGAGTAATGAGAGTAAAGGTATCACTAATTCACTGAGTTCGACTTGAAGTTGTTATGCTTTTGTTCAGTCTCCCAGAAGCACGGATCCCAGGCATGTGTCATCATGTCTATACAGGTATAAATGGAAATAGTGTGGCTTACTTTGGATGAATGTGTGCTACAGTAACTATGCAGAATAATATATTATTTACATGAAAATGAGTATATTTACAATATGGGCCATATACTTTTACAATTATTATGTTAATTATTCTCAATTATAGAAAAAAGGGTCGACCATAAACTGTGGATATAGTCAGAGTATGAAAACTTATATTCGTTTCCATTTTTCACATCCAGGAGTCTCCAGATCTAAGAGATGGCAGTGGAGAACTGTACTGTGCTTGCTGAATTTGTGTTCTTAGGCCTTTCCAGTAGAAAAGATGTCCATTAGGGAGTCTTGTTGTTCTTCCTTCTTGTTTATGACATTACTGTGGTTGTCAATCTAGGAATGATCCTGCCCACCAAAATAGAACCCAGACTTCATACACCCATGTATTATTTCCTGGGAAATCATCTGTTTTTCTGTGATGTCTGCTATTCTTTAACTGTCTTTAAGGTGCTGGCAGATTTCCTGTCTGAGCAAAAAAAGGACTCCATACAATTTATGTGATATATACATATGGATCAAACTTGCAAGTTCGTGCTTGACAGGTAGGTGCTTATGCCACTGACCTAAATCCCCACTGACATAAATATGTATTTTTGGCACCTTGAAGATGTGGAATGTCTCATGTTGGCTGCCATGGCCTATGACTATTATATTGCTATTTTCAATCCACTTTATACAATTGCAGTGTCCAGGAGGGTCTGCACCCAGCTAGTGGCTATGTCTATATCATAGGCTTGATGGATTCATTTCAATTGTCCTTCTGCACCTCAAATGTCATCAATCACTTTTTCTGTGGCATTCCACCCTTGCTGGCTCTGTCTTGCTCAGACACATCTGTAAATCAGATTGTGATGTTTACTTTCATTAGCTGTATCAAGGTGAGCAGTGTTGGCTCTGGCTTCCTCTCCTACAACTCCATCATCACTGCCGTCTTTAAGATGAACTCAGTTGAGGGCAGATGCAAAGCCTCCTCCACCTGTGCCACCTACCTCACAGCCATGGCTGTGTTCCATAGTACCTTCCTGTTCATGTATTTCTGACCCAGCTCCAGTTGCTCCATGGACACGGACAAAATGGCTTCTGTATTCTACATGGTTGCCGTCCTTGTGCTGAACCTCCTGATCTACAGCTTAAGAAATAAGGATGGGAAAGAGGCTGTGAGAAAATCAATCAGCACTGCATGGTGTTCTGGGTAAAACTGTTTTCCATACCGAATGGTTCAGAAATTCTGAGACTAAAGTTCAAGTATTTTGTCATGTGTTATCATCCATTCAGCCTTCAAAATTTTCCCACTATAGACTCATGACTGTGCACTTGTTGAGTGTGAGGAGCAGTAATTATTGGACATTGTCTTCCTTGTAAACAGGCAGAATAGAATGAGCATCATTTTGCTGATTTGTAGACAGGGTCCTGTAACCCACCCTCCTTCACTGATAATTGTATCCCAGTGAGATGCCACTGGGCTTTGCAAAATGGTCCATGCACAACTCATTGTTTCCTTTCTCTGATTGCAATTTTAAAAATGAGTATAACAATAAAATTGCTGAGCCAGAATGAATGTTTACAGGTCAAAGACTTGTTTGTGTTCTTTATATGTATTATTATCACCTCAAAAATGCTCATCATGATTATAAATATGTAGTACATAAATAAAAGATAAACAAATGAACTCCTAATTTAGACTCAAATTCTGTTAAGCTGATGCTCTTGCCCCTCCCATCTTGCACTGTTCTGCTTTGATATCCATGATGCTCTACAGCACAGTATAGCTCAACAGCACTCCCTGAATGAACAAGTCCCCTACTAGACTGGTGAAAACAGCAGATTCTGCATATGTAAAAGGAGGCAATTTCCTGGGTTTCATGTTATTGTAGTAAGTTCTGCTTAGATGAAATCTACCTGCATACTCCTCTTCCTGGAGACTGAAGCTGAATATTATGGACAGGACACATGTGATGTGAGGAGCATCTCTTCTCAGACTTTCTGTTGCCCACGAGTCTGCCCTAGGTTTATCTAGAGCCTTCAGGACTAGCGGCTGCACTGTCTTCTTGTACCTTGTAGTAGGGGCTCCATCTCTGCTCTTCCTTTCCTGCCCCACTCTGAAGCACAGAGGGGCTCTGGCCCGCTGCAGCAAGGGATTCCAGACTGACATGAGGACTGGAAAGGGCTCTCTATAGTTAGTGTGCCTAATCCAATTTAGACATTGTACTGTGTACATGTAAATCTAAACTTTATATAGCACCCAACTAGTATGGATAATTTGTGTTTTATTCATTAACTAAGTAATATATTACAATTAGTGAAAAGCTATGCAATGTTAGATATCTACAGTCAACATGATCTACAGCAGCTGCCCTTGAATATGTCTATTCTCTGCATAATGCCTACTTTAACATGTCTTCAGTCTGTCAGCCCCAAGTACCTTCTACACAGTGCTCCTCTGATTGACTTATTAGATGTTGCATACACCCAAGTGAGAGCATACTGCATGCTCTTCTCTTTATCTGGCTTAAATAACCTTATATAATAATTCTAGATTCTTCTACACTGCCACAGATTACAGGGCTTCATTCAAGGGAGGCAAAATTGAATTTCATTATGTAGAAAACATGATTTTTATCCAAAAAGCACAAGTTTAGTTCACATCTTGAGTATTGTGAGTTGCGTTTCAATTAACAAGGCAGAGCAGGCATTTTTCAACACATTGATTTTATTTCGTTTGAACTTGTAACAACTAGAGCTATTTCAGGATCACATTAGAATTAAACTTGTAATTTTTTGAGAGGCTACCATATTGTTTAACAAGACAGTTATTCTAGAAAGAAACCCTTTATAACTGTTGGTTAGAGAGTAGATTAGTACAAACACTGTGGAAATCACTGTGGAGATTCCTCAAAAAATTAGAATTAGAGGTCCCATTCAACCCAGGTATTCCCCTTCTGTATATCTTCCCAGAAGGATTGAAAAACATCACACCACAGTGACATATGTGAAACCATTAGGTTCAAAATATACAATAGTCACTGTGAAATGGAAGGAAACTGTTTAATAAAAAGAAACTAAGATAGGGGAAAAGAGAAAGGATAGAAGGGAAAAGAAAAAAAATGCAAGTTAGTTATACCATTAGTGTCACTTAGTTCACTGAATAGGAAAGGTTGTGCTAATATTGATTGAAGTAATTTTTATGCCCATATTTTGTACTTGAGTGACTAAAGATAATGTTGTGTAATTTATCAACAATTGTTTCTTTTTCATTACTTTGTTGTGAAAATTTGTTTTACCTTTTCTTCTTAATATTAACAAATAAAGTAATAAATTAAAAAAAAGACAGTTATTCTAATTCATTGCCACCCAATGGGAATGTGCTTTATTCTCTCTGCATCTTTACCAGCACTGTGTTTAGCATTTGGCAATAGTCACTCTGACAGGAATGAGTTGACATACTTTCAATTTGCTGTTCCTTGATGATTAGAAATGTCTTATATTTTTTCACATGGCAGTTAGTTTTTGCCATGTTTCACATTGTATACTCATGTCTTTCCACCGTTGTTGATGAGACTATTTACTACTTATTGAGTTAATTGATTTCCCTATATATATTTGATGTGAATCCCTTAAAATGTATGATTTGAGTATATTTTTGTATTTCATAGGTTGTCTCACCACTGTATTGATTGTTTTACAGGTATGCATAAAAATGGCTATATTGAGCTGGGCATGGTGGCTCATGCCTGTAATCCCAGCAATCGGGAGGCTGAGGCAGGAAGATCATTGTGAGTTCGAGACCAGCATGAGCTACAAAGTAAGCTCAAGTCCTCTCCAAGTTGTGTAGAGAGATCCTGTCTCAAAAAAGTGGCTATGTTACACCTTCACATATTGCTCATAGTATCTATGTAAAATATGGGGTGCACATTAAATTTAATTCATAAGGAAATATTTTCTTTATACAAGGAATATTGAAAATAGGCTAACTTGCCTAGCATATGTCCAAGCAAAGTAAATTTCATGTTAGTATTCGAAAATAACACATACAACATAAACTGAAAGTGATTAATAACTAAAAGGCAAAATGTAGAGAATAAGTTCTTGTCTAACAATTGTATCAAAAGTAGACAAAATAAATATGCTTAACTCATTACATTTTTAGTAATAATTTTTTTTAGTGAGGCAATCACATCCTTGTTCCTGAGGCTGTATATCAGGGGATTGAACATGGGAGTCACCACAGTATAGAAAAGAGACAGCAGCTTGTCATTATCTGCAGAATGGCTGGATTTGGGCCTTAGGTAGGTAATAGTAGCAGTTCCAAAAAATAGAACCACAACCAACAAGTGGGAAGAGCATGTGGAGAAGGCCTTGGCCCTTCCTTTGGCTGTTGGAAGCCTTAGAATGGTGGAAATGATTTTGCTGTAAGAGGCAAGGATCAGCATGAAAGGGACAGCCACAAACAACATAGCTACCACATAGACAGATGCCTCATGAGCAGATGTGTCCTCACAGGCCAGCTGGAGAATGGGGGGAATGTCACAGAAGAAGTGGTTGATTTGGTTGGAATTGCAGAAATGCAGAGAGAATATCTGGCACGTTTGCCCTATCTGCACTGGGATTCCACCAAGCCAGCAGCCAGCAGCCAGCTGAGCACACCTCTTTGGGTTCATGACCAGAGCATAGTGCAGAGGGTTACAGATGGCCACATAGCGGTCGTAGGACATCACAGCCAGCAGGAAACATTCAGTGGCTCCCAATATAAGAAAAAAACACAGTTGAGCGGCACAGTCCCGCAAAGAAATGCTTCTATTCTGTGTCCAAAGATTGAACAGAATTCTAGGAAGAGTGACTGAAACATAACAGATTTCCAAAGAAGAAAAATTTGCCAGGAAAAAATACATAGGTTTATGTAATGTGGGATCAATGCTGGTTATTATGATTATGAGGCTATTTCCAATTAGGATAGTCAGGTACATTATTGTGAACACTCCAGATAGAAGTCCTTGGAGGTTTGGAAGGTCAGAGAATCCCAACAGGACAAAGTGCATCATGGTGGAATCATTGTCTTGTGCATTTCTCTCTTCAAGTTGCATCTTTGAAAAAATGCAACCAGAAGTTGAAGTTACTTCACTCTGGTTAGCATCTGTTTAGGTATATGTAAAACATAGATGATGTGTTTACAAATGTCCAAATTATCTATAAGATCAAAACCTTTAACTTCCTCGTGCTGTGGATTTTTAGTGAAAGACGTTTTTGCTTACCAGGATGTCAGCTGACATGTCTCTCATATGCTTCTTTCTGATGAGGAAGAATGTCACTTCAAGTTTTCACATGAAAATACAAAATGCAAAATGCAAAAATACAAAGTTTGACTTTATGTTGTAATAGCAATAATTACATTGTATTCCTTATTTTTTTCTTACCTATTTTTTCCTCTGATTTCCCACTTAAAAATTAATTCTATTGCAAAGTAATATTTTGAGATATTTAAAATAATTTTGGGAAGAACATCCTTAATTTTTAAAGTGATTTGTGAGAAAATAATCCTAAAGAATTTTTATCTTTGACATTCTGAATTATAGATTTTTATTATTTAAGAAATGATCAACTGACTTTCAAATAGCATAGAATGATTTTTAATTTTTAAAACTTCATTACAATGTAAAACCTGTGAAATTCAAGGTCACATATTTAATTTAGACTTGTGACTTTAAGACGGTTGCTAAAAGAGTACAAGTGGATAAAAAAGAAATTATCAAGATTATTTTCCTACCCAGAGAACCTCAAGTAAAGAAACAGTATCATTATTCAAAAACTTAGTATAGATAAAACTTGCAGATCTTTGCTCTGAACACAACCCTATTTATCTGTGGGATATCAACTGTAATTCATTTCTGTGATTTTTACTTAAATCCTCGCATTCTCACTAATAACATCCTTGCTGCTGTTTTCTGTAGAGCTCATTTATTTATTTGATCTGTTTGACTGCATGTGTTTGTGTAGGTTCCCACGTAAGTGTGTTGGCATGCCATTGTTCATTTATATCATATTATTTTATTTCTCTACATTTGCTAGTGTTTCTTTGGATATATACCATATATGATTTCTGTATAATGTATAGTGCATTTGTTCTACAAAATTTGAGTTGTTTACTGCTAGGATAAATTTTGCATGAGTTATTTACTTCTTCTATGCCTTGTGTATGTGTATATGTGTTTATGTATAAGTGTGTGTGTGTGTGTAAGTGCTATGTAGAATTTATGATACTCTTACAGATTCAGTTTTGGTTTTTAATTTTTAGTTTTTTAAAAACTTTTAATCAGTACATGTGCTTCAGTTCATAATGGTAAAATTCATCCCGGAGAGTTGGTAGAAGTTGGTGTAAGTCATTTACTCTTGTAGAAATAGCCTCTCCCACTATTGTAGGTACTCAGTATGAAATTTTCATTTTAATTTTAACTAACGTAAACAAAAGGGATTAATTGACTGCACATAGCACAAGCTAACCATGTGCTGAGAGGGTAAATGGAACAGTGCATGCAGCTTCAAAGTGCAGAGAGAAATGAAGACAGAGCCAGTGTCCATGGCAAACTGGGCACCCTGAGACATTTCTTTGATTGGAAATAGAAATAAATGGTAATTATTATTCCACCCAAAATATCAGATATGAAGGTAGTAAGGATTTTTAAGGTTTTTCCCATAATTATGCAGTTACTAAAATTAAAATTGTGGTATTAATATGCTTTAACTGAAACTCCAAGGCATAGACAATTGTAAGAGGAGATATTTACTAACATGTGCTTTCAAGGTTTTGAATCTGTATAATAGCATTTTTATTCTAAATGCAGTACCCAAAATTGGAAACACATATCTTCCCATTTTTTACATCTAGAATTAAGAAATGGACAATGATGAAAACTTGATTTAAATATCATGTATTGGAGGCTATCACACTTGTATAGTTTACACTTCTTTATATGACTATTGTCCTCTGGAACTTATATTTTCTCTTTCTTTTTCTTGGATCTTTCCTTCTGTAAGGCTTTTCCTAACAAGCTGTACTTCATGTTATTTCCCACTGAACAAGTAGGAGTATACAATGCAAATGAAATTACAACATTTTCTAAAACAGATAAACAGTTAAAAAAAAACAAGAAGACTCGCACACCTACTAAAATATTTTTCTCTCTTTTTTGATAGGAGGACCTATTTGTATAATATAACAGCAATTTTAAGAATATTCAATGAAAGTATCTATGTACAACAAGATGCAAAATAAAAAATATGTTGTAATTACTGAAGTCAAGCCAAATTGTACTTATATTATAATATGATCTTGCCAAGAATTTATTCAAGACTTAAAAATTTTCATTGTTTTCGCTCACTTTTGAAGATATTTAGAAATTTTTATTTCACTGTAAAAAAGCAGTAGACAACTAAGGTAAACGTAGAGCTTTTGCTTTAAGTAAATACTTCATATTTATTTTACTTACCTCTCCTTTAAAGCAGTGGTTTACTTTGCTATAGATACTTTTGTACTAACAAAATCATCTATCATCACGTGAACATAGAGCTTGAAATCTGATTAAGTTTATGACATCATATTGAAGGTAGGGATAAAAGTCGCTATTGGCACAGGTATTTCATAAAGATTTACTTCTCCTGGCACAATCCTCTAAATATAAATAAAGAACTTGTCATTATTATAAAATTTTATATTCATTAATCATGAATATCAATGCTTAGGAAGCAGGAGTAATGTTGATAGTTGTGGGTTGTGTCAATGATGTCAATACTTTTGCTCCACTGCTGAAAGTAACTCTTGTTTGAGGAGATAACATTTAATGAATGCAAAGTGCTTAAATATGCACTTCACACATTATATCACTTAATGACTATTAACCCTTAAAGAATGATTATAAGGATAGTAATAATCTTTACTATATTAGCTTTTTAGGTTAAAAAGGAGTATACATTTTGTTCCCAGTGTATCTAATAATATCAAATATCAGAACTTTTTTGACATTTAAAAAAAACAAATGATTCAGTTTTAAATATTTTTCTGTAATTTAATCTTTTTGCTAATGTTAAAAATGAAAGCTAATATAATTGTACTGTTCATTATATTAGTTCTTTGAAATGAACTGTTAGTGTTTATATCATTTGATCAATTTTTCATGTGTATATCTGATTATCTCAGCAACTATTTTAAAGGCAGAAAAATGCAGTATAATAACCATTGTTAATTTCTTATTGTCTTGTTTTGAAATTTTGTATAGTTTTTATTTTTTATTCTCTTTTTAAAAAATGCAAGTTTATGTAAAAATAAATGAGGTTGGTCAAATGTAGTTCAGACTTGTATATTTAGAATTAGATTAATTATAATGCTTACCTTTATTGGATATTAGACAATGATAAAGAAATTTCATTTTTTCAATCAATTTAGGAATCTGCCTTCACTTGTAGCAGAAGGTAACCTCTTTCTAATGTACAACATATTCCCAGAGTAGTGTTCTTTAAATAGGAAATATTCTGTACCCTAGGGTACATGTCTTTTCTCATGTCACATTCTAACTGAAGGAAGTTGTTTGTCCTGCCACTCAAGTACTTAGTATAACAAGCCAAAGTATTCTTCATCTACCAATCTCTATAAGTTTTTCCATTGATTTTTTGTGGTCATTAAGAAATATAAATACTGAAATTTAAAAAAATCTGTAACTATATTACACATGATAGGTATCAAGATATTCTAATGAAAAGTCAAAGGAACAGTGGTATAAAATTAACTAAATTTCTGCATATTTTCATTAATTTTCCTCACTTGTTGCAACCTAGAATTCAAACTAGTAGTGGCTTGAGTTCTCCATCAAGCCCTTTCTCAGACTGATTATAAAATAATAAAATGGTTTCCTGTAACCTCTTCCAATATGCTGCACAAACAGGCATTAGACTTACACTCAAAAAATACAGTGCAGTGGAATAGTAAGTATAGCTGTGGCAGTCTGGCATACTCACATAAATACGAAGACTAATGATTACATAAATGAAAGACTATATTTTAGAAACACATATTGTCATCCCATTCCTGTATAAAAACTACCATTTTGAAAGGTTATATAAGAAATAAATGAATAAAAATAAAAACCAGAAAGATTATATAATTACCTACCATTTTTGAATGATGTTGTGATTATTTTAATTCTAGATAATAAAGTATGTGTGCAATATTGTTTATTTTGGTGTACATTTCAATAATTTTCAATGTTGATAAGCATATTTGATATGATTGTTTAATTCATCCATATGACTGTTTATTAAAATAAGTGTGCCATTTGTTAACATCTTTCATATAGTTTAGTAAGTCCATTTCTTCTCAAGTTGTATTTAGAGATCTTCCCATATTCCACACATATTTACTATGATAAAAAGATATGTGATTTGCTAACATTTTATTGACTACCTGTGTTTTCACTCTGGTAAGAATTTTAACAGAATAAAATGATTTCATATTGATGAAACAGAATTCATATTTGATTTTGTGGGTTGTGCTTTCAATGATATATTTGTGCAGTATTTGTCTCTGGTGACAATTACTCCCCACACCTCTTTATTTTATTTTAAAAAGCAAAACAACAACAAGAAAAGAAATGACACAGAATTTAAAAATAATAAGAAATTAATACTAGTTAATACATTGCATATTTTTATCTTAGAAGTAGTTTTTCAGGTTATAAGATTTAGGCACAAAAAAAAATCTAAGATCCAAAATATACAATAGATGTTGTGATAATGATAGGGAAAGAAAGTGCTCAAAAGGAAAGAACAACTGGGATAGAGGAAAGGAGAAAAATAAAGAAAGGAAAAGATTATATATGTATATATGTGTGTGTCATTCATTTAAAAGGAGCACATTCCTGGCTTTGATCTGTGTAGGAGGGTGGTATAGTCTCTGAAACACTGCAGAGACCATAGCCCTAAACAGTCCTCCTTCCCTGGACCTTCCCCCTTCTAGGCCTGTCTTTTCCAACATCTTGGGGAGAGGTGAGAGCAGGCTTGGGGAGGGTTCTCAGGCCACGGAGCCGGAGTCTCTACC